ACGGTTGCAGCACCACCGCTACATCCGCTTCTTTGGTTTTTTCGTAAGCACGCTCCCCCGTCACAGACGTGTCGACACTGGTCTGCTTATGTTTCACAACTTTTCCGAGTGCCGCCCGGTTGATGATGAGACTTCTCATGTCAGTGCAGACCCCCGGGGGCAGAGCAGGTGAACAGGAATGTGGCAGCGCTTCCTCCTGAAGCAGAACTTGTTTACATAAAGAAACAAGCTGCGCTGAAGAGTTTCCTCTCGACGCTCCATTTTGCTTTTTAGAATTTTTTTTAAAAATATTCTTGATTTTTTGCATTTGAAAAACACTTCATTTTCATTGTTTTTCACACTAACATTAACAAAGAGTGTTTCCCCCTCAGTTATCAACCACACCTCAGTTTACAACCATTCGTTGTGTCATAGTGCGTGACAGCGACCGCGGCCGTGTCGTAATCACTGTTCTGACTAATCAATCTGTGTAACTGTTGATTTGATATCAACCCTGGTGCCAGGAGGCGAATCACGTCACAGCGCTGCAATTTCTTCCCATGCAAAAAAAAAAAAAAACCTCAACCTCAAGGTTAGCAGGTTATCATTTTATTTTCGTTTTCATTTCAACCGTTGACCCGACACGGCGTCAATTTAAAGTGCTTTAAAGCCGCTGTGAAAAGACACAGCACAGGACGTGTACGGAGACTGGAATACTGGCTCTTTGTCACTCATCTGGGCAGTTTCAAAATAAGAAAACAAAAAAAAGAAAACGTGGAGAAACAAACGGGTGTTCGCAGCACCGGGTGTGTTAAAAAAAATCCTTCCACCTCTGCAGTTTCTATAATAAAATCATTGACATCGTAAAGAGTCCGATCTCAGTTCATCACTGAAGAACCGACGTCTTTGATCTCATTCAAAGTCTCTTCAGTCTCCAGTCCAAGTATCTCCAACAATACTGAATCAGTATAAACAAAAACACATCACCTGCTGGCGGTCTTTAGACCTTGGACTCCGTGGAGAACATCTTGGTTCTCAGGGTCTTCAGGGTCAGTGTTCTGGGGGTCGTACTGGGGCTGCTCTGCGTGCTGTCCATCTGCAGGCGGTCCATCAGCCTGGCGCCGTTGTGCCACACCGTGGATTTACGCTTGATGGAGGTCTGAATGCTCTCCGAGGTGAAGTAGTAAATGACCGGGTCGAAGCAGCAGTTGGTCACCGCCAGGCACAGGGCGATGGGGTAGATGGTCCTGACCACGGACTCGGCGTAGCATCCTTTCAAGATGTTGGAGCGCACCAGGGCGTAGAAGATCAGGTTGACGTTGTAGGGAATGAAACAGAAGCAGAAGACGAACAAGTGCACGAAGACCATCCGCAGGATTTTGGTTTTGTTGAGAACGCCCCCGCGGCTGACGGTCTGCGGCCGCCTCAGCGTCCGCAGCACCATGATGGAGCAGAAGACGTTGAGCAGCAAGGGGATGATGAAGCCCACCGTCTCGATGAAGATCACCACCTTGGACAGCTCTGCTTTCCACTGTTTTTTGGAGTAGTTTTCGAAGCAGTAATACTTCGAAGCGTTGTCGTTCTTGGGCGACGTGGTGTCCAGCAGTAGGCCGGTGGGAATGCTGCCGGAGAGGATCATGACCCACACCAGGCAGCAGGCCAGCTTGGCGTTCCTTTTGTTCCGGATCACCTGCGACCTGAAGGGATGCACGATGGCCAGGAAACGGTCCACACTGATGCAGGTGAGGAAGAGGATGCTGCCGTACATGTTGGTGTAGAACAGCGCCACCGAGATCTTGCAGAGCACGCTGCCGAACATCCATTCACGTCTGATGAAGTAAACGATCCGAAAAGGCAGACTGAGCACAAAGAAGGAGTCCGAGACCACCAGGTTGATCATGTAGGTCGTGGTCTCGTTCCGAATCTTCAGCGTGCAGCCAAAGATGTAGACGGCCACCATGTTGAAAATGAGTCCAATCACAAAGACCAGGCTGAAGACGACGTTGTACATGGGGTACTTGAAGTCGTCGCTCTTGTTGCAGCTCGCGTAGTGGCTGCTGTTGTACATCGTCGGTGCCGACTGGAGAGTTTGGTCCATTTACGAGCAGGAAAACCCGGTCTCCTCACTGGTGTGTTTGCATATTTAAATGCTGATCAAACAGACCATAAAGTTCAGGTTGCTCTCTGTGATCCAACCACGAGCTAAAAACCTCAACAGAAAAATAAAAAAAAGTCTTCTTCTTCTTTACTGAAGGAAACTTCACAAAATACCTGCAAAAAAAAAAACAACTTGTTCCTGCGTTCAACCACCGTGGAGGCGCTAGTCCAGACGGTCTCTCTCTGCGAACAGTCGAGCGTTTCCTCAGGACCTGGCGTTATTCTCTCTTCCTGTCGTGGCTTTTCACTGACTCGCCCTCTGTTTCTGTTTTAGCTTCTGTCTGACTACAAACCTCAGAGCACACGCTACAAGTGAAAGCCTCAGACTGTTCAAACAGGGGGCGGAGTCTGTGCTGGGGCAAAGTCTTCCCAGCGATTGGCTGCTGGGTTTGAAGTTTAAATAATGAGACTGTGAGTGTGTTTTTAATGTCATTCATATTTTTCCTTTCATATAAAGATTTCCTTCAAACACTCTGACAGTAAAGACCGCTTAAAAATTCTAAAAAAAAAATTTTTTTTTTTTTTTTGCACCAATAATCTTTAACTTGTATTTATACTCAAATGTGTTGAAGTGATTTAACGCCCCTAGTGGTAACTTGTGTCCACGGCAGCAGCGCAGGCAAACGTGAAGTGTTTGAAATGTGTCAGCTGGGTGTGGCAGGAATGTAGGAACAGGTCTGAACCTGCAGGCGGAGCAGCCTGCAGTGCTGAGTCGGACTGACCCCCCCCCCCCCCCCCCCCACCCCCCCCCCCCCCCCCCCCCCCCCACACTCCTCACCACAGACGTAGCTGCTGGTTGTGACACCACACCATATCATGGATATTTCCATCAGTGCCTCACCTTCTTGTCACGGGACCAGAGTTCTGGTGTGGAGGTGTTGGTACCGTTGAACTTTGACCAATCAGGAAAGACTGTGTTCACACCATGAAAGGATTCACACCTGTGTAAACTGTTGATAAGAGATAATAAAAAATAAAAACGACACGTGCTGAGAAGGCGTGTTGAAACTTCTGCTGGTGACGAGCCGCGGCGAAAGAGAACTGGAACCAGGAGAGAGAAGTGGCGTTAAACTTTAGAACAATACGACTGTTTTTAGATTAGGTTTTAATGGATGTTACAGATGGATTTAGTTGCCTTTAAATCTACTCTGTATATATGTGTGTGTGAATATGTATATATGTGCATATCTGTATGTATATATTTATATGCATGTACGTGATATGTGTATATATATTTATCTACATTACATTACAAACGTATATATAAATATATGTACACACATTACAATACATTACAAACATATATACAAATATATTACATCACATTACAAACATATATAAATATGTTTGTAATGTATTGTAATATATGTGTGTATATATATATATTTATATATATACAAACTACATTACATATTGTAATATGTGTACATATATTTATGTTTGTAATGTGATTTAATATATTTGTATATATATTTATGTGTTTGCAATGTATTGTAATATATGTATATATATTTATATATATGTTTGTAATGTATTGTAATATATATGTACATATATGTTTGTATATGTATATATATGGTTTATAGGTCCGTAGCCCTGTTTACAGTGAAGCAGTATTTCGTGTATATTTTCCATCTCCACGTGTGTTCTGACAGGAACCTGGTCGTGTGTTCTCCCCACAGGGTTCTCCGCTCTTTGAGCTGTTGAAACAGGAACACGAGGGTGGAGCCGCAGAGCAGGCGGAGACGACAGCCAGTTTCAACCAACCACTGCAGCACAACCACACGGCAGCCGACCTGTGAGTCCTGCACCAATCAGCGCGTCTGGTTCTCCTCTGCTCACACACCGTAACCGTCTTTGTCTCTTTGTCCCCTGCAGGTATCTGTCCCCTGTCCGTCCAGGCCATCGCGTCGCACCTCCAGAGTCTCCAGCCACTCCAAACTCTCACGCTTCCTCTCAGGCCGCGAACCAGCCGACCAATCAGACTCCTCGACACATCAAGTCCAACTCTCTCAGCCTCTTCTATAAAAAGCGTACGTTCACTGACATCCAGTGGTTCTCAACCTCTGTGCCGTGGCACACTAGTGTACCGCGAATTATTATCCAATTTAACCTAATTGGTCTGAATGATTTTACTTGGTTTGTCAATGCGTGACATGCAGAACATTTAAATACCCTTCCACTAGGTGGCAACAAATGGCCATGAAAACTTAAAAAAAAAAGAGAATCAGAACAGTTTCTTCAATTCCTGCCAGTATATCAGCGTTAACCCCTCCGTGGTTCTCCTCTCTGCAGTGTACCGTCTGGCTTACATCCGGCTGAAGTTGCTCTGCTCCTACCTGCTGTCCTCCCACCCTGAGCTGGAGCCAATCATATGGACACTTTTCCAGCACACGCTGCAGCACGAGTACGAGCTCATGAGAGACCGCCACCTGGACCAGGTGACCTGACCCGGACTCTTGAGTCCTTGTCTTGTTTCTGTCATTTTTCTTTTTTTTTTAAATCACTAAACATTCGATACATTTTTTTATTTTTAAATCTCCTCTACAGTTGATGATGTCGGCCATGTACGCCATCTGTAAAGTGAAGTCCGTGGATCTGCGTTTCAAGACCATCGTCACCGCGTACAAGAACATGCCCAACGCCAACCAGGAGGTACTGACCCACCTGGACACTGGACCACAGAACCAAAAAATGAAATCTGACTTTCAGGAGTGGATGAAATGTTTTTATCTTAATCTGAATCTGCTGTGGGCCACACAGTGGTGAAGTGGTTTGTGCTCTTGCCTTACAAGAACACTAACGTCAGCTGCCCAATGACAAACTTTTGACTATAACACTAGGTGTGAATAATGGTGTGAATGATTGTCTGGTTCTTTCTACCCTCACCTGTTGACTTCTGCAAATAGCTTTAGCTCCACCTTGTGGCCCTGGAAGTAACTGAATCTGCTCTGGTTTTTCAGACCTTCAAGCACGTCCTGATCAGTGAGGGCCACTACGACTCCATCATCGTCTTCTACAACCAGGTCTTCATGCAGAAGCTGAAAACCAACATCCTGCAGTACGCCTCGCCCCGGGTGAGGAGCCGTCGCTGTTTTGTTTTGTTCTTTAAGCTTCTACATAGTTCTGATCGACTTTCTTCTTCTTCTCCGTCAGCCTCCGCCTCTCTCTCCAATCCCACAAATCCCTCGTAGTCCATACAAATTCCAGAACTCTCCTCTACGAGTTCCCGGCAGCAACAACGTTTACATCTCTCCTCTGAAAAGTCCGCGGATGTCTCCAGGGATCATGACTCCTCGCTCCAGGTTTGATGCCTTTAATTCACAGTTTTATTTATGAAAAAAAACAGTTCTGACTGAGTTAAATGTGTGAATTTTGTGGTGATTCCAGGATGTTGGTGTCCATCGGAGAGTCCTTCGGGGTACGTGTCACTTTTATGTCATTTGTCTTTAGCGACGTTAGCATTGCATCCCTCAAGTGTCCCTAACGTCCTTTTTTTTTTCCCGTCTTCGTCCACAGCATTCCAGTCGCTTCCAGAAGATCAACCAGATGGTGAACAGCAGCGAGCGCTCCTTCAAACGGACGCTGGACATGGGCTCCATTCCCAAGCCTCTGAAAAGGTTGAGGTTCGATGGGGACGGACAGGACGAAGCGGACGGGAGGTGCGGTCACACGTCTGATGATGTCTTAGCATTTACTCTGTTTTTAAAACAAAAAATGTCTGGAATATTTGCTCCGTCATCCGTCCAGTCTGGTTTGTCTGTAAATTGCCGATACGCCAATATTGTCCAAACTTCTGATTCAGATACCAACTGATGCTGACATACAGTAGCAGGGCAGTGGTGGCCTAGTGGTTAAGGAGGTTAAGTGCATTCTGCGTACGATCCTCTGATTATTAGAATAGATTAATAAAAATGAGCTGCAATGCTGCCATCTAGTGGCTTTCACTTTCATATACATCCATTTTTCCCCAAAAACTATCTTTAGGGAGAAAACCAGACATTGTGTCACTTTCATATACATCCATTTTCCCCCAAAAACTATTTTTAGGGCACTTGTGTTTTTGTGTTTTCATTATCGGAGGAAAAACTGATAACTTTAAATTCTTACGGATATTACATAATTATGCTAATATCGGGCTGATAATATCGGTCGGCAGATGTTATCGGCTATCCATCATTTTAAGTAAAACCTTTAAAGGATTAAATTAAATGCTGAATAATTTGTTTGTTTTTTTTCACCAATTTTCAGCAAATCCAACGGAGATTCCACCCTGATACTGAAGCTCGTAGAGATGAGTAAGTTGCCTTTTTTTTTTGTGCTTTCACATCCTCATTCACAACGTGAAAACATTGTGAAACTCACTTCATCCCCCGGAAATCCAGGCTCCACCCGCAGTCGTATGCAGGAGCAGAAGCTGAAGGAGGACGCTGACAGCAGGAAGGAGTGACTCAGAAAAAAAAACAACAAATTGACGACCTACTGAAACTGACCTGCACTGTTTTCCTTTTTTTTTTCTTCCTTTCTCTGTTTTTGTATATTTAGCAGAAGATTCTAGTTTTGTAGTATTTAACTTTGTGGCGTTTTTTTTTTTCCTCCCATAAGTGTGTGGTGCCGCTGTCCTGCGCGGCGGGTTTTACTACGACGTACTCTGACAGTATGTGAAGATCTCTGGGTTTTTTCGTGTTTCAGCTGATGTTTTACTGCGTGTTTTAACTGAATCCTAATTCATTTGATTGGATTTTATTTTTTTTTTTTTTTTCTGGAAGGGATCAATTTTTTAAGCGTCGGGTTTTTGGGCATCCCTGGCTGTATCACATGACTGACTTCTCCGACCACTGTTTGGACTTTTTAACCGTTTGCCGTTTTTATAACCGACATATCGTAGCATTTCGGCGCGTTGTCACAATTTCAGTCGTTGGAAATGTGCGTTAACCTCGTAGGGAACTCTGGTCCACCGGTTTCTGCAGCGTTCTTTTTTTAATTTTTAAGCGTATTGTACTCCGATCTCAGAGGTACACGTTTTGCCGTAGAGTATTAAATGTTTGGTGGAAAACAATCAAAGATTTCATTTGCACTCAACCAAAAACCTGAGTTTGAAGTGTTTTTTTTTCCGAGTGTTGGTTTCAGGCTCCTGTGGACAAAACAAAAAAAGATCATGTTGTTTTTCTATGGATCTGTTTTGTTTCTTTTTTTTCTTTAAATGCAATAAAGACACACATCAGCTGTGGTAAAAATAATCCAGGAAAACATGGACTGGAAATGTCAGCTGACAGATTTATTTGTCTTGTAAAATAAAAAGTTTATATTGTACCTTATTGGAATTGTTTTCTGACATATTGAATTTGTCGTTTTAAATAAAGAACTAATAAATAAAAAAATGTGTTATTCTGTATTTTAAGATTTATTTTCCACATTTCTCTCAGACATTTATTGTAGAAAAACGGATTTACAAAAGTCAGGCGTCTCTTTTCCTCCCTCTGCTGGACAAAAGTATGGTTGCTTCTAAACGATTGAAAAGTGATTGATTGAATCGTTTCTGTTTGACTTTTACAATGTTCTCTTCATCGTTTCATGTTGTTTGTGAAAGTGATCACCCTAAACCAGTGATTATCAACTGGTGGCCCGCGGCCTGAATTTGGTTCACTGGCCGAAGAATGGTTTCCAAAATTATATTGTGATTATTATTGTTTTTCATAATAATAATAATTATTATTATTAGAATGAACAACAAAATAATATGAACAATAAAAATAATGCAGAATGATAATAATAATAAATCCTTGGACTCCCTGCTCCTACCCTCTCCTCCCCTGGGGTAAAGTGATGACAGCTGCTGCCTGTTCAGTAACAGTTATCTTAATTGTTCCTTGGCACTGTTTCCAATCCAGAGACCAGAGTTAAGTGAGTTAACTTCTGGTGGTTTGGAGCCAGCGAAGCGTGAAACACGTTGA